AGCACTGAACGACTCTGGCTTGTGGGAGGTCAGAATTTTCTGTGGTGCTAGTTGCCGTGGAAACAGAACCATTGTTACAACCTCCTTCAGTGGCTTCCACTGGTTTTACAGTAAACCTTTTTGGTCTGACTATCATCTTTTCCATTTTTACGCTGGTTAAAATCCCTATTCTTTTGAGTCTTACACTGAGCCCAAAAATGATCTTTCTCCTCACATGCATAACATCGTTTATTGGCCTTCGGTTGAAAACATAGGGCCTTATTAACTTTTCCCTCCAGAGTGTGCTCTGGAGATGAGGGTCTGTCTCTAAAACGGCTTCCAGTAGCTTGGGTACTTCTGAGGAAATTTCTACCGGGTGTGGGTCCTCTCCTCCTGCCATTCCACACTTCTCTAACAATTTTTACCTCAGAAAATTGAGGATCTCCAATCTCACTAATAGAACCAGTGAAATTAATGCATTTTTAGGATTTTTGTCTTTGACTAGATAATGCAATTCCTCAGGCAAAATGGAATAAAATTGTTCGAAACCAACCACATTTTTCATTTGGTCTAGACAAGTGATTTTCTCGTTCTATCCATTTGTCCAAACATTGGATCAATTTAGCTGCCACTTGGGCATAAGATTCTTCAGGCTTTTTGGTAAGGGAACAATTTTTTCATCTAAGGTGTTCTGCATTTATGCCAAATCTAGAATATACAATTTTTCTATATGCCTCAAAATCTCTAGCTTGCTCCAGAAGCATCTGAGAATAAGACTCAGCTAAATCTCCATTTATTTGTGATATCAAAACTATCATCCTTTCATCATCCTTAATCTTAACGTCCCAGCACACTCTCTCAAAAGAAATCAGGAAAGATTCAGGGCAATCTCCTTTCCTATATTGGGAAAATTTCTTTAGATAAATTTTTGAGAGATTTCCCTCACTAGAGTTGTTGTTATTGTTGTTGTTGTTGTTAGCTGATTCCAATTGTTTCATCTATATTTGAAATTCCGTTTCTCTTTGTCTGGCCTCAGCCTTCTCCTCGAGCTGTAGTTCCCTGAGCTGTAGTTCCTTAAGCTGTAGCTCCCTGGCTCTTTCTTCTTCTTTTTCCCTAAGCCTGAATTCCTGTTCCAACTTCCATTTTTCAAAATCTTGTGAGCTTAGAACCTTGTTTTTCTGAGGCACCCTATGTTTGGGTGGCATGTTTAAGTCTGAGTGAATTAGTCTTTAATGACTGTACTGCTTTTTAGAAGGACCTGTCTTTCTGCTGTTTATTCCAGTAACTATGTTGTTGTGCTTCACTCAACAGCTCTTTCTCTCTGGCTGTTCTCCAGCTCACAACCTTTCAGTTACTGTCTCTCGATGTCTGAGCTATTCTTCCTCTCAGATACCAAAATAATTTTATTTTCAAGCCTCTCCTTTTATTGTCCTATCACCCCAGATCTGCTCTGACCCAGACTTCCACTCTTATCCAACACTGCTCCCTTATCTCTCAGAGCCTTGGATTTCAAGCTAGCCCACTGGGTCTCTCAAATACTGAGGTAAACAAAAAAGAATTTTTCCTTTAGAGTCAGTTCCTTATCTTTAGTTCCCCCAGATCTGGGTTCAGAAGCCCCGCCACTAAGCTTTTCCACAAAAGCTCTAGTAGGTCACCCACTTCTTTACCACAGACCCCTGACTAAAAAGTACCCACAACTCCAGAAAATTCACTTTTTAAAATTGGCTTTACAATTTTGACGTTTACCCCGTGGCCCTTGCTTGTTTCACCATGAAACAAGCCCATGAAGGTATCCCAACACACCCTTTAACATGCTGCCACCAGTTGATCTCTTTATCAACCAATATTTCCTATGAAAGACTGAGGTCCATTCAGTACTGATCTTTTAAACAGAAACAGGTTTATTGATTACAATTTGTTTTAGGACTAGTTCTTAAGCACATTCTTAAACTAACACAAAGCTTCAGTATTTTACTTTAACCTCTTCTATCTTAATTAATACAGGTCACATTCTGACTAATCACTCCTTTTACACACTCTCTGCCTCAAACCCCAGAATCTTTCCCTCATCTCTGTCTGTCTGGCTGAACTGACTAGATTCTGACTCCCTCCTCCCTCCTGGTTTCTCTGGCTCCGCCTCCCAACAGCTCCCACTGGTGCAGACCAATACCATTATATATATATAGGAAGACAGGGTGTTCACTACAGTAACTCTTAAACAAATTTCCTCCTTCAAACATCCTCCACTCTCCACCACCACTCTCCCACCCAAACTCCAAAACCTCTCCAAACGCTCAATCTCCTCAACTCCTTAAACTAAAAACTCCCCCTCCTCCTGCCAAGACACTCATATCTCGTGACTCAACCCCTCCAGCACTCCCATTGGTCTGTGCAGATATCACATTAATATTCATGACCTGGGCAGATGCCACAGATGCCTATATTCACATAGTAACCACTTTTCAAAAGGATTCAGATTGCTGCCACTGCAGCATGGGAGCCTTTCCCACATAATTTAGTCTTATGCTCAATTCAAATTCACAAAGAATGTGGATCAAACATCTTGCATGTCAGTTCCTATAATAGTTTTGTCAATTCCTGAAGATTATGAGTGGTAGCTTATTACATACAAAAGACATGACTATGGTGGGAAAGCAACCCAATGAAGAATGCCTAAACATATCATTTTCAAAAGATGCAGTCCTGAGCATACTGCATAGAGCACAACTTTAATTGAACACAGAAGGATTTACTTCATATTTGTTTACATATTCATGTGCTAAAAATACAGGAGCATCACATAGCGGAGCACCTGTCTGTGCCTCACAAAGAGGTCTGTTTTTAAGACAATGTATCAATTCAAAACATAGAATTCAGATGTTTGTTATTTCTTCATCAGCTCTGTATCCAGTTCTAGAAATATACAATGTAAACATTGAATGCTACATATTTTAATATATACTTAAGCATTTCTGTTTCTTTAGCTCTGTAAGTTCATTGCACAGTTTATGTTACAAGACTGTCCTGTATTATGTGTCATGAGATCATTTAACTGAACAGGAAATACATATCACTTGCCTTTAACAGTGTTTCACCCACAGATTAGAATCCTACAAATGTTCAGTTTTGTAAATTAACGTATTTTTCGCTCCATAAGACGCACCTTTCCATAAGACGCACCAATTTTTTAGGAGAAGAAAACAGGAAAATATAATCTGTTTTCTTCACTCCATAAGACGCACAGACTTTCCACCCCCCCTGTTTTGTGGGGGAAAAGTGTGTCTTATGGTGCGAAAAATACGGTATTCCATCATTTATATGTGTTGGTAGTTGAAATAATAATAATAAAAAATAAAAATCCAGGTTTAGCCAGCCTGTTAAAAAAATAATAATAATAATTGTATGATTTATTACATGCTTACTTTGCTGTCCCTCCAAGAAACCAAGAATGGCATACATTTCCCTATTCTTATGCTTAGAACAACTCTCTGAAATAGGTGAAGCTGAAAGGTGCTGAGCAGTTGAAAAACAAGCTTTGGAGCTTAGCATATGTAGCCTGTGGTTTACACAAGATGACTGCCTCAGCTTGAAATTTCGGGGTGACCTCCCTTCTGCTCAGACCACGAGCTACCCTAGAGCTGAGTGGAGATTTGAATCTGAGTCTCCCCAGCTTAAAACATGACATTTTAGCCAGTCCAGTACCCTGGCTCTCAAATAATGTGGGTGACCCTTCTCTCTCCAGGAACATATAATCCTCAAACCCTCTCAGACTGGACAGCTTAATATGCTTTTGATGGAAGAAGCACCACAATTTATGCATTTCATACGGTTCCTTCTGATCTCAGTACTCCCACATGATTTGTAGATAATTTATCAAAGGCTGCAAAATTCATTTCACATGTAGGAGACATAAATCTTTTTAATGGGATGGAAGGAAGGAAGGAGGGAGGGAGGGAAGGAAGGAAGGAAGGAAGGATGGATCCCATAGACACTGTCATGCCAAACAACATGATAAACATTTACCAATATTACTATAAGAATATGTACCATTCCAACAGATAAGAAACTGTCTTGAGTCTCAAAATAATTTAAGAATTGTATTCAACAACATGGTGCTGCTGGTACCATTCCTTGATCCAGAATCCATAAACCAACAATCAATCACATAGCTGTGTCCTTAAAATGTTGAACTTAGGGCCTTTATCTACCAATTATGACAGTCAGTATGGTGTAGTGTATAGAGTGACAGAATAGGGTTAATTTTTTTTTATTAAAAATGAACTTTTAATCCAATCACATCTGAACACATTCTGTTTAGACCAGTGGCTACAACACAATATTTTAGAAGGAAACCATTATATTACTTTACTCTCAAGCTTACACTATCATTGCTTCAATCATGCACATAATTATTTGCATTATGCTTTATTAACATGGTATATTAATAAAATTAAAGAGAAATTCCCTCTGGTTCCTTTTTTCACCAGTCCTAATATTGCATCTTGAAAATATTTATAAAAAGACAAAGACAAATTCCATTGCTCACTAGCATAGATAAGAGAATGAAATCAACTCTGAAAAATTAATGTCAAAACACATTTGAAAATGCCTTAAAATGAACAAAATTCAAAATGATCTTGATAGGCTGGAGTACTGGGCTAAAAACGACAATGAAATTCAACAGGGATAAGTGCAAAGCACTGTTCCTTGGAAAAAGAAACCAAATGCACAGTTAGAAGATGGGGGGGGAGGAATTGCTGGCTCAGCAATGATACAAGAGAGAAGTATCTTGGAATTGTCGGAGATCACAAGCTGAATATAAGCCAAAAGTATGATGTGGCAAAAAAGAGGCTAATGTTATTTCAGGCTGCATTAACAGAAGTATAGTTTCCAAATCCCGTAAGGTGCTAGTTCGCTTCTATTCAGCCTCATCTTGAGTACTGTGTCCAGTTCTGGACACCAGACTTCAAGAAGGATGCTGACAAATTCGAACAGGTTCAGAGGAGGGCAACAAGTATGATCAGGGAGCTGGAAACCGAGCCCTACAAGGAAAGACTGAAAGAAATTGACATGTTTAGGCTTGAAAGAAAAAGACAGAGGGGTGATATGATAACACTTTTCAAATACTTGAAAGGCTGTCATACAGAGGAGGGGCAGGATCTGTTCTAGATCATCTCAGACTGCAGGACACGAAACTCAAGTTACAGGAAGCCAGATTTTATTTGAGTATCAGGAAAAACTTCCTAACTGTTAGAGCAGTACAGCAATGGAATCAATTACCTCAAGAGGTGGTAAGTGCTCCAACACCAGAGGCATTCAAGAGAAACTTAGCAGATATCCTTTGATTTGTATTCCTGCATCAAGCAGGGGGTTGGACATTATGGCCTTATAGGCCCCTTCCAACTTCACTATTCTATGATTCTATGAAATAACTGAAAGTAACTCAACAATGTTACTCATTACACATGAAAATTAACCTTTGTAACTACTCTTATATTGCTAATGTTGCAATACTATCACTACTACAATACGGATTACTGAAAAAGAAATTAGTTTTAGGAAGATATATTACTTCTAACTAGTTACTTTCAAATTCTGGTTAAGACTATTGACAATGTAGTGGAATTCAAACCAATGAACAAGAACAGCTAAAGGAACAATTTAGTTGCACATATTCTAAAACAAACTGGTTTCTCATACTGTACGATTACCTACAGAAGTCTCACCTCAGTCGATCTTCTTCTTTTTTGCGGAGGGTGAAATCTCGTTGGACTACCTGAAGGACATGTTCGGCTTCATCATCAGTCAAGCCAGACAAATCCAACTTCCTCCCCATGGTTATTTCTATCCTCAGTGCAATAAACTAGCTGAAGAATCTGAAATAACGAAAGAAAACAAAGAATATGAATCTAAAACAATTTCAAGTCTTCAGTGACTTCCTGAAATTAAAACACATTTAGAGCAAAATAATATTATTTTCATACCAGTTTGGGGATTAAGAAATAAATTTGTTATGTGCTGTCAAATCAGAGACAATTTATAGCATCTCTAATGGGGCTTTCAAGATAAATTAGATATTTAAGGAATAATTTTAGCAGTTCCACACCCCCACTGAGATTTCATGACTGATCAGGATTTGAACCCAGGCATCCTAAATCCTAGTCTGCCATTTATCCACTACACTACACTGGGTATCCAAGAAAGAAATAAATAGGTATTATTCATACGATAATGGCTTATTTTTGGAATCAATATTCGCATCCAGTGTATTCAAACTACATCAGATTCTCAGTTATATAAATATTTTCGAGGCTTGAAAAATGCATGCATGCGGGAACCTCAAAATATTCACAGAAACGGCAGTTTAGACTACATTTTGTAGTAACAAACAACAAAAAGTAACCTGCACACCACCACCCCTAAGGTGTAAACAACATACAAATAAAATAACTGTTGTCCATCTCAAGAGTATAGAACCGTGTTGGAGAACTATGCCACGCGTGCCACAGCAGGCACGAGCCATAAATCGCCAGATCGCTACCTTCCCCCACAGCCAAACCTCAGAAAATAGTAGGTCTCAACTTTTGCAGGTTTTAGCTAAGAAAGCAAAAACTATGGGCTCGGGCAACCATCACATTCCCTGCTTCTGACCAGGCAGGGTGGGGGAAGGACAGAGAAATACAAAAGGGGCAGGGTGGGGAAGAAACCCAACCCCTTCCCTGAGGACGATGGGAAATGCAGTTTGAAAAACTGAATCCAACAGCAGCACAAGGACAGGAGCGGTGGGAGGTACAGAGATGTTTTTCTTCTTTTGGGGGTGTCTGTGTGAAACACCACTGCTGCAAGATTTCATAACGTGAGAAACGTCAAATGGGCAATACATGGCAAGTTGAGGGGTGCATTGCCTGTATCTGAAACAGGGACTGACGGAAGTGCAGCAAGAGAGGGTTAACTATCAGACTGAAATGGGGGCAAGATTAACTATAGTCAACCCTCGATTTACGAACGTCCCTACATACGAACTTTTCAATTTACAAACGGCTCCGTTCGCAAAAATTGGCATCGACTTGCAAACGTAGCCTCGACCTACGAATGATGTTGAGGCTCCATTCACAAGTCAATGCCATTTTTTGTGATCAGAGCCTTTTGTCACCTTCTGTCTCAAACGGCCCCCAGGGCAGTTTCCCAGGGCTTGCCCACCACCATGGGAGACCTCCCTGGGGGTCCCCACCACTGTGATCGGCACCTTTGGAGCTCTCAAAGGGCTTTCCCCCTGACATCGGAGGAAGCCGTTTGAGACCTCCGAAGGCAGAAAGGCAGGGAGAAAGGGCTGGAAATTCGAATTTCCGGGCCTTTCTCCCTGCCTTTTTGCCTTCGGAGGTCTCAAAGGGTTTCCTTCGATGTCAGGGGGAAAGCCCTTTGAGAGCTCCAAAGGTAATTTTTTGAAATGCTGGAATGGATTAATTCCGTTCCCATGCATTTCAATGGAAAATGGTACTTGGACTTATGAACATTTCGACATACGAATGCCATTCCAAAATGGATTAAGTTTGTAAGTCGAGGTACCACTGTAATTGAGGAGGACAGTCGTGAAGGATAAAATGAAAGGAAAGTCGGCTCCGTGAACAGAAAACAAAACAAACCAGGTCTATTGAGCTGCTTTTCTATCAATATTTCTAAACTGTTTAGATCTAAAGATTCTAAAGATGAATTGTAAACAATACACAATCAGTGGAAAAAACAAGTGTGTTGAATTTCAGAATTCCTTGTTGGTGTAAGTTAGCAGAGTTCTTGTTTCAGTCCAGGCAGTCCAGTTGAATCACTCAAAGACAGTTTCTTCCAACACCAAGTGTATTTACAGTATATACAGAAGTTCAGCAGTACAAACCGGCAGCATGACATTCATAGAAGAGATCCATTCATTTCCACAGGTCCACACGGTTATATACATACACATTTACATACAGCCAATCAGTGTGGACACTGCATCATCCCAGACTGCATGATTCAGCATTTTGCACACCTGTCAAGTATGGCTGCTGCTTATCATAGGTCTTGTTCTGCCTCAGTGTAAAAATTACCCTTGACATTCCATGTAGAGGGTAGGGCTTCAACACTAAATAAGCTGCTGTGAATGATTTTCCATGGGGGGGGGAACCTCTAGATCTGTGAAGATCAAATACATACCTTACACCCTGTGTTTGGGCCTTGCCAGTGCCACAAAGCAGCAAATCCATGTTGTAACAATCCAGAGGATTGAGCCCATCTTTTACACCATGACAGAAGCACAGAGCAGCAGACTTGTGATTATTATAACAATTATTATAGTGACTACTTTAGTTCAAGTGTATGAAAACAGAAATATCCATTGTTGTTTTCCTGGATACTGGTTTTGCCCAGATTCTAACAAAATCGAACCTCCTTTTCCAGAGGCAGTGTACCTATGAATAAATTACTGAGGGGCAGCAGATGAAAGGGAAAACAGTGGGGGAGAATGCTCTCTTTATGCTTTGAAGGCATTGGGGTAACCAGACAGTGGTCTGCATGGATCCGAAGTCAGATTCAGAGCTTGGGAAAGTCATTTCTTTCTACTACAATTCCCAGACTCCCCAGCCAACATGGTCATCAGATATGGTTGTGCAGATGTTATGAGAGTTCTGGTTCAAAAGGCTAACTTCCTGAACTGTGGTCAAGTGCAACTATTCTAGGCTGATCAAGTATAGTAGTAGTATACTTTATTACCATCAAAGACCAGTAAAACCAAATCAATATAAAATAGATACATCTAATTATTGTTTTGTAAAGTTGGGCAGGGTAATAAAATTCCGTTAAAACATGATAGAACAACGCCTTCTTTCCAATTAATAACTTCATATATTCTTAATATAGGTAAAACATCAGGCAGTGTTATATTAAAAACATATTATCCATCTAAAATCACCTACCCAAACATCTGTTTACGAATAACCATTGCTGTAGCACAGAATTTGGCCACTTGTGTTGTAATATAAGGGGTATTATCGGAGAGTAGCCACTGCACATAATCATCACTAATCCAGTATAATAAATTCTGCAAGATATTTGAGCAATGCATATTCTCCAGTATTATTTAACTACCACCAGGAGTGAAGATAAATGCACTACAAAGAAGGTGAGGTACCATTTAAATTATAATCCACTGGGAAGATGAAAAATATGGATGCACTAAGAGGCAAAATCCTTCTTAGGAAGGATGAATGGAGGTGTCAAAGAACTATGGTGAGGAAAATATGCACACAGATAATTGGGGGCAAGCTGAACAAAAGGAAAAGACCAAAGGAAAAGAAACAGAGTTGCTTTGAAGCAGAAATTTTTGAGCAGGAGTGGATGATCTCAAGTGAGCCAGGGTCAAATAGTTAAAACTGCAGTATTGCAGTGAAGACTCTGCTCACAATCTGAGTTCAACCCCAAAGGATTCAAGTAGCCAGCCCGAGGTTGACTCAGGATCTCAGTAAATTTTAAGTCAATGAAAACACTTGGGATAGCTCTTCTTACTTTGTTTGGGTCATCTTATGCTTCTGAGCAGCTGTTTTAAACTTTGAATTATATCAAATCTGATACCAGAAACAGACTAACAGATGACCTTAGTGCTGCATGTGTTGCTCTCAAACTAACGGAGTATGAGCCAAGGTTTGACAAATTATCAGCATGCATACAACAGCAAAAATTACATTGATTGTGCAAAAGCGGAGTTGATGCCAGTCATCAAGGAAAAGAGGAGAGCTCTAGCAGCATACAAAGCCCGTCCTAGTTAGTACAACTTGCAGGTTCTTTGAGTTGCTCATAGCAAAGTCCCAACAGATTGCCAACAACGATTATTGGCTTCAGCTCTGCTCTCAGATACAGATAGCAATGGACACAGGTAACATCAAGGGAATGTACGACGGTATCAAGCAGGCTTTAGGCCCAATACAGAAGAAATCTGCTCCTTTGAAGTCTGCTATAGGCGTGATCATCCAGGGCTGAGCACAGCAGATGGAACGCAGGGTACAGCACTACTCTGAACTATATTCTAGAGAGAATATAGGACCTTTCATGAGGAAATTAAGGGCACTGTAGTTTTTGATGGCTCAACATCAGTTCCCTTTGACATCCGAAGCGGAGTGAAACAGGGCTGTGTCCTCGCACCAAATCTGAATGGGATCTTTTTTGCTCTCATTCTGAAGCACACTAGAAGGTGTCTATCTCCAGACTAGATCAGGTGGAAAGCTCTTTAATCTCTCTAGATTGAGAGCGAAGACCAAAGTCCAGCTGAAATACATGCAAAATCAGGGAGCTGGACAGGGGACATAATGTATTTGTCTTCAGCGTGGAAGGGATTGTCACTCTCGAATTGGCCTTCTCAGCCACACTAGATGCTGTTCTAAGACCTCTATTCAGAGCACGTTACCACAGTCTCTCGAGACTGAAAGATGCCTACTACTGTGCAAAAGCATGCCAAATGTAGTCCAAGATACTAGTTTAGGAGTTGTTTAAAGTGTGTTAAGCAAGTTTAGTTTTCTTGTTTGCTCATCGTACTACAGGTTGACTTTGTTTTTTACTAACCCAACACCCGTAGAAGCAGGGAAAGGACCCGGAGTAAGGCTTGCGCCATACAATTTCCGTCTGGCATATAATCATATTAGAAGTTAAGTATCCCTTGTCAAAAATACATACACATAATTATTTTAAAAATTGTATAAATTATCTGGCCTTGGGCTATGTTTATACAATGTATTACTTTTTTTCATTTACTAGGGTTGATTCTTTTTTCAATAAAAAGCTATCATTGAAAGCTCTGTTATTGTGTTTTTCTTTTAAGACAAAATATGTTAATTAGTTTGGACAACTCTGTGAG